CAACACATGCCGTGCCAGGCTTGGAGCATGCATAAGGTATGGTGGAGAATATGATGATGGTTGGTGTCGGGCTCGAAGCGCACGCGGGGTCTCCATAAGGAGACTATGGCCTCGAGGAGGCCTGCATGTTTTACGCCATCACTTAGAGCTACCTCCCACCGGCTAAAATTTTGTTATGCATTCAGCTGCCCTGGCTGTCAAGGTCCTTCGCCGTTTTTTCGCGGTCGAGGATAGCAAATTCAGCCGAAGATCGAACTTTAACGCGAGGACACGGCAAGTCCCGAGGGTGAAGAAAGACTACTTTTGTGATTGAACTCTCCTATCGTGTAGGCCCGGTGTACCTGCATTCTTCGCAGCAACAGATATCCTGGCATTTTTTGACTGATATTGTGTAAATGAAGGCTCCGGTTGTGTGCATGATATTGTAGTTGCCGTGACAAAAGATGCTTTCAATGTTGCGCCGATTTCTGATTACATGGACGTCATTGTCCTTTCTTGTCACATAGCATCACGTTCAGCTGCTGGCGACAATTTTGGTCGCAGAAATTTGCTCTGCGACACAAAACACATTTTTACCACCCCCGTCATAATGATCCGCTCATGAGCACCGGAGACTTCAGTCGGATCGAACGTCATTGTGGGCCCCGCGCTCATATAATAAGCGACTTGTACGCAACGCAGGAAACGAGGTCCTTTTTCTTTCCATTCTCAGATTACACTCATCATGTATTCCACTGGCGCGCTTCCGTTGGTGGACTCGTGCGGGCGTGACCATCCGACCGCGGCGAGGGGCGTGACGTGCTGTGGCGCAAGATGACCTCGCGCGTGCGGGTCGGTCAGCGGGGTACCATCTGGCGTGTGCCGGCGGCGCAGACGCACACGGCCACCTGTTGCGCCACACGACCCCCGGGCCAAAACTGCAGGCGAATGCCGCCCCACATCTATTGTCTTGGGTCTCTATCGCAACCGCGATTCAAGGTAGGTCTGAGAAATGCGGACAAGAGAGGCGTAGCGAAGAGGAGGCGAAGCAGCAAATGTCAGTCAACCGGGTTACCAGAGAGGCGAATCATACAGAAATGGGTCATGCAGCCGTGCAAGATCTCTGCGTAGACTGTTACCTCCTGTGACTGAAATGTGACATTAAACAAACCAGATGGGCGGCAATCATGCCTGATACATTTTAACAGGCAATTCGCCTGGTCACCTGTCTTCAGCATTGGGACGGGCCAGTATACGGAGCTGAAGTCACCTCACCATAGTCTGACCCCGCTGGTTCATCGCGCAGTATCCGGAGGTCCTACTGACCATCCAGGGGGGAGGGAGGAAGCGGGGGGTATATCCCCTGCCTGGCACCCTCAGCATGGGCCGTGACTCGCACGAGACGAGACGAGACCCTGTTTCTCAACACGAGACGAGACGAGACCCTGTTTCTCGCGTCTGCCGTCGAAATCGGGCTTTACATGTTCATTGAAACGAAACCGTGATACTCTGAATGGGGCTGCCCTTCCCTCAGAACGGAAACATCTTCAAAGTGGCGTCACCCGTCCCCGGAGCAGAAACTACCGGCTCCAGAATGCGAACGAACTTCACACTAATATCCCACGACTGAGAGAACGAGCAACCCATCCACATGAACAGAACTTGCTGTTAACTGAGCCTTAACGGAGACACAACTCGTTCAACTTCAGAAGACTTTGTCAGAATCTTTCGTCATAAAAGTTCTTCTATTTCCTGTCATCTTGGACAGGGACTATCATTATAGCGTTACCCGCGTTTTACAAATATCACGGTGCAACTTCGAAAATGATTTTCTGTGTTAATGGCGGTTAAGACAATGCCAAAAGCTACCACCAATATGACCTTCACCTTTAACTTCCAAGTGCCAGTAGCACCCATCGAAGATGGTTTAAATGCCGTAGTAGCGTAGTAGGCAACTGCCTGCGGGATGGTACAAATTGATGCATGGTAGGACTCTACTAACAAGCATTCGCAACTAAAGTGACGTACACAACATCCGAACAAATTTACAGAGCTATGACGGTGAGCACTCCGAATCAAATGCAGAAGGACCGAGTCTTCCCACTCGCCGGCTGCAAGCCGACGGGGCTAAGCCACATCGTGTTAAAAACGACACCGTCCGGTCCCGACAAAGTTTCCGCCGGATGTGGCCCCGCTCTCGAGCCCACCGATCTGGCCGTGACGTCCGCGCATGCGCCGCTGTCGACCCGAGTTTGACCCCAACCCTGCGGTCTGACCCGACGACGGAGCGGCGAGGCGGCTCTCTACCCCCGGGCCAAACTTCGCTTTCCAGCCGGCGAGACTTGTGGTCCGCTGAGCGGGTCAAGCAGGTCACTGCCTGGCTAGCGGCGGCTGCCCCACGCACCAGATGGCTGAAGCTCGGCTCGGCTCGCATGATGCACGCTGTTTACGCAAACCATTATTCGGCACGCAACCGACATGAGGCACATTCACTCTGCATTTCCATACACAATGCTGCGTAGATAAACGCATACAACCTTACTACACCAGTCACTGTCCCGTCACGCGTGAGCCAATAGACAGCTAGTCAATCTTCCGCTCCCTCGGGGGGCTCGTATCGTGGCGGGGGCCACGATACGAACCTCCACGACGCACATGTTGGACGCGGCAGGCAGCTCTAAGCCAGGTCGGCGTGACTGGCGGGGACCAGGCTTGGCTGGACGGGCGTGAGGCGGCTCCGCCCGCCGGCGGCCCGCGTGAGGCGTGAGACATCAGCGGGGGCCGCGACCCGGGCGGCGGGCGGTTAGTTCCGCCGCCACCGCGGGCGCCACCGGAACACGGCGACGCCGCCGGATCGCCGCCCGCGCGCCGCATTCGGCTTCCGCGTTGTTGTCGCGCCATGGCGACTCAACTGTGGATACGGCTCAGCGAGCGGCGACCGGCCGGGCTTGGAGGGCCTCAGCGGCCTCCCCAACCGACGGAGGAGTGGGGAGGACCTCAGCGACCACGACGGGGTGGGGGAGGACCCCAGCGGCCTCCCTAACCGACGGAGGAGTGGGGAGGACCTCAGCGACCTCGACGGAGGGGGGGGGGAAGGACCACAGCGGCGACTGAAGTGCGCCATCGATGGAGGGGGGGGGGGGGGGGGCAGTGGCCGTCTGGGCCGACGGGACTGGATTGAGAAGGCTGCCAGCGAAGGCAGCGGCCATTGTTGATTAATGACAGACTCTCTGGTAGTGGTTGGTGGACGCGAGTATTCACCACTGCCTTGTGTTTGCGACGAAACGCAAGGCACGCCCTTCTGAGCTGCGAGCGGCTTTGCTGCCTCTTTGTACGATAGGACTAAGAACATAGCCGTTGTGCCAACATAAACTGTCTTAAAACGTCATTTTGGTGCGGAAGTCCACAGGCATCAGCCGAACAGTTGCAGCAAAGAGCAAAACATTTGTGTTCACAGTATGATTCATTACGCCGACGAAAACACTCGCGTATACATTTCGCATCTATAAACAGCCTCGTCGCAGTCACGGCGTTGATTGAGGGCACCGTTACTGTTGTTGTCGGCTTATGTTTGCATATGAATGTCCCATATACAGCAGCACGCTTTCCCTGATACCATTGAACGTGGTGTCCTTATCTAAATGGGCTGGCATCCCACCGCTGTAAAGTCCTGACAATGGGGAGGTGGCTAAATCTGAAATCAGCTGCTTAATTCAGAGGGTGGCGAATGCGGTGGGCCTGTACATGGATTCTCACTTCACTGTGTGAAATCCTGCGTGTTCTCACAATGGATCGGGTCCTCCCAGTCCACTGTGACAGGCTCCAGGGCCACCTCAATGCGGTCCTGTCAATGCGCTAATTGCCCTCTCTCTCCTTCCATGGTCCTTCCAAGATTGCTTGTTTGTTCCTAAGATAAGCTACGGAAGTGATGATTATCTGGCTTAACAGAATACTCAGGGCGTCAACAATTCGTCAAGGAGTGAGGCCAAAAGCAAGTGCCGCAGACACAAGAAATGCCGTGGAACTCGGGACAACCAACTGATCGGTGGAATATGGTCTTGGGAGAGGATGACCTATACCGTATAACACATACAATTCCTCTTGGACTGCTTGGCTGTCGGCCTCATGGGGCAATTTTATCCCATGTAATTTATTAACACATTTTATTGGTGCATTTAGAATATGAAACATTGACACATCATGGCCGCAGGGACCACCGTACCTTAACATCATTCAGCCGCAGGGACTGCACCTTTATACCATTCAGCTGCAGGGACCGTACCTTTGCATAGCCGCAGGAACCGTACCTTTGCATAGTCGCAGGGACCGTATCTTTACGTCATGCAGCTTGCCGCTCGCAATTCCCAAAATGCGTAAGCGCTTTTTGGCTCACCCTCAGTGAGCAAGACGCCAGGGTATGGGATTTTAGCACGGTTTAGGTTTAAATTTACACGCCTAGTGATCGGCTGGCCTGCACGCTTTTGGCTCCAGTCCATTCATCATATTGTCTACTGCTTCATGTCCATAATAAAAAATGAACAACATACAACACACCTTCTGCTGCAGTACGTGGTGTGTGGTGAGGGTTTTTAAGGGATTAAAGGACTGGATCTGATGAAAAGTCGCTGTATTGCATACACCATTCTTTTGTGTCAGGAAAGCGGATTTCCTAACATCAGTAAAATTGGCAGCATGTCAGGTGCTCAGCATTCGTTGAGTTTGTTGTTTTATGGTCAGCAAATGCTGTTCGCTGCTGTGGGAAGACTAAATTAACAAACGTGCTCATTAATTTTAACACCACAAGCCAATCCTCAAGCATTGGGCTTGGAACAGGAAGGTGGATCATCTCCCCACATCACTTTTTGTCGAAGTTTACCATCGGCTATCGTTCGCGAACATGAAAAGCTTTTGCTGTTGGTATTTCTCGCCCTCTCTTACTGAAAAAACATTACCAATAAAGTGTCATCCGCAGTCAAAAGGCACACGTGCGTCCACTCCCCGCTCATGCCCCCGCCACCCACCTGATCACATGGAGCTCCTCAGGTCTCTCCGGTTGGCGCTGGAGCGGAGCTGGAGGGATCCTCGGTGTGAGCCTGACCCGTCACCGCCGTGCCCTGCGACTGCTCGCTCCGGCTCCGCACCTCTGGCACGGAGGCGCCAACACGGCTCGCCGCGCCGAGCCGCACGCGCCAGACCGTGACGTCACTGTCGGCACTCGTGACGTCACACATGGTGACCTGATCACCTGGCGTAAGGCAAAGTGTGTGTGTGTGCTTTGGTGTCACCACAGCAGAGGCGATAGACTTTGTCCCGATTTTGGATGGCCGATGACCATTTTGAGTTATCTATTTACAGTGAAGGTCCATAGGGCCAAAGTTTCATGGAGTTTGGGGGTGGGATTGGGAGAGATGGAGGGGGGGGGGAGGGCTCAGACCCCTCTGTCCCCCTAGTTCCCGCACTCCCGCACCACAGCGTGCACTTCAGACCGTGGGCTCGGCGACACCCGTAGTAATCTTCAGTTGCTCTGTACCAGGAACGGCTTTGAATCCGGCTCCGAAACCTTCCTCCATGCTGCTAAATCGGTCAAAGTCGTCGTCGGTCATTCCCGGCAGCGATTGCTGCAAATTAGTGCGCAGGCCGGCCGGGGTTTACCTCAACGGAAGGCATTTTTCGTCGTGTCCCTCCGGCCGTATCGGCCGTGGCCATGCTTCGGATCGAGTGTACAGGCCGAGGATCCGACCACCGCCTGGTACTCCCAACCATATCTTTTGACAGATCCAGAAAACTTCCCATCGCTGTTATTAGGACTTCCAGTGATAGGAGGTGGGACGGGGCTGAGTCTTCCTATGTCCCAGCTGAAGGGAGGGCTTTATGCCTGCTATGTACGTCTGGCAATGCTTCTAACACCATTGCCGCATTTCTTCCGCAGTCCAAATAATGTACGGCAAACTTGATGCTCTACTTCCGCTTTTGTGACACGTTCGTGGTTACCTGAAAAATTAAACAGGTAACTTTTCTAAGACAGCATTATCTGTGCCCAAGATCTAAACCATTCATGTTGTCCAAACCATTCCACTGACAAAAGAAACAGTCGTGTGGTTATGTGCGGCCAATGCTGGACCACACTAGGAGGAGAACAGAATTACCCCAAGGACGGCGCCCTCCTGGGATGTTTCAGCTACATCGCAAATTAAGCTTACTTGGAATGGTCGATGAATGCCCTTTCGAGATACAGGAGGTTGTTTCCAGGCGGATGGAAAGTCGACAAAACAAAGCAAACTTAACCTCCGAATTGATAGAAATGCCTTTCTTATTTGAAAACTGATGCGTTGTGTGCCATTTTTCTGACAAGAGAAATAGCACAAACCACCGTGAACCTAGATGCCTAAGTAAAAGCTCACTGGTGTTCATTTAAGGTCAATAACCTGTTTAACCTTTCAAAACTCGTGTTGATCAAAATCATACAAGACTACTTTTGCATTTAAATAATCGTCAAAGATTACGCTTGGCAATATGTTCTTACAACAAAAGTTGGCCTTGATCATTTTGAGGCCAGCGACCTATTCTGATCTTTGAAGTCCATGGAAGATGTATAATGCGGTTCCTGTCATCATTACATCAGAAATGCGCATCAGAATCTACCCTGTACTATAAGCTTCGGAGTAATAAAACAGGTTTTTTTGCCTTTTTCTGCGCTTCATACCTGATCCAAGGTCAATGACATTTGTTCATTCAATTGTTGTGCTGCCTAAGAAACTATCTCAGAGATGCAACGTTTCATTCAATGCTAACGATCAGATTGAACAATTCCCTAGAAATTATATTTTCTGAATCCATGGCCTGAGTTTGACCTGCTGTAGATCAGCGACCTTACAAGCTGCTTCTAAATGTTTGATACCAAATGATCCGCTATTTAATTGTCTAAAGGGAGGCAAAAGTTGCGATGGATATAGAGCATCGTTCGAAAATCACACAGGAAGAACCTTCAGAGGAGGTCAAATCGCCCCCCCCCCCGCCCTGCACCCGGGCGCGCGTTAATCTACTGCAGGCTATGCTGTCATTTTATATTCATTCCTAGATTGTGGTACGTGCATTGAGTGCAACAACGCCCAGCTTGACTTGCCGGCTCAGGTAAGTGTTTTCACCCCTAAATTGCAGCATGCAGTAGAAGTTTTAATGATATGAAGATGGAAGATGGATGAAGAATTCGTTGCTGTGGTGGTTACGGACTCACATTGCGTACTGTGTGCACCAACGCTGGGAACTAGGGATGGCCCACTTCGTATTCGGCCGACGTGTATACAGGGTATGCCTCGTAAAACGTGACATGCCCAATGTTTCCTGTGGGAGGCAGTATAACTTATTTCGCAACTGGCATATACAGATACGCACTGTCATCTGTTTTCATGTGATTTACAGCCGGGCGTCATGACAATATGTATCGAAGCTTTTAAAGGAAGAATGAACTCAGCTAACCAATCTTTAAATAAATATGGCCGAGTGTGTTAAGGGGATGGAGACCAAGGGGTTAAAGTCCTTGATGGATGCAGTTGATTGCAAAGATAATGACAATGCCCTCCAGAAGACAGTTTTTAGTTCAGCTGGTGACGTCACTAAAATATTGTGACATATTTTGTAATTCGGTACGGCAGAATACACTGTCATGCAAGCGACATGACAACATGCCGTGGCTACAAGTCGCTTCGTTATATATCAACCAACAAATCGTCGTACGTTGCGTAGGGCCGTATTGCCCCCCCCCCCGCCCCGATTTGCGGCTACAATATTCGATGCAGCCCATTTCAGAGTCACTGCAGCTCAGGCTCTAAAGTTTGCTCTTTTACGGTAATCTACGGCGTACAAAGGTCTGTTGAATTACCCACATACTGCATGATATGGATTCTTCCCCCGCATACCCTAAGGCAAACCACAACCTCGATGTTGAGGCTACCCCGGCTACCACTTCCTCATGCAGGTTTCTCATCCAATTGTCTTTTGTTAGTGATTCGAAGAGATGCGTCACTACATGAGGATACGAATTAGATGATTCGAGGATATATGAGATGTGACGTTACGACCCAAGTTTCTGTCAGCGGTCAGCTTGGCAATGGACTTCCGTTGCTCTATCTTACGTTTCTGAAGCACTGGTGACCTTCTACATAAAGTGCTTGTTACGTGCGGCACGTTTCTGTATTTGTGTTTCCCTAAAGCGTCTGCCAATAACTTGACCTGGTTGTGGGCTACTGACCTTTTTTCAGGCCTCTAAGCATTTTAACCTGCAAATTTCTTCTTTTATTTATTGTGTAAAAGACTACTTAGGCGGATCATATAAAAACAAATTTCTGTTTAGATATCGAGTCAGGGACCCCAGATCATTTGGAAGCCATGATTCACTAAATGCGTTGCTGAAACATCATTTGAACACCCGGACTGTGTAATCTCATTTCGCTGACGGATCTCTTGTCCCCAGCAGGCATTTTTGTCACATTTTATCGTTACATTTTGGAGGATTCAGCGTGACAAGCTATGCATTATATTTAGGAGGGTTCGGCGTGACGTGCTATGCTCCATGGGGGTCGATTAGACCCCCCGTCAGAGGTTTTGTGAGGGCTCCTCTCTCCAGAATGTTACACAGTCGGTACTATGCTCCATGGGGGTCGATAAACCCCCCGTCAGAGGTTTTTTGAGGGCTCCTCTCTCCAGAATGTTACACAGTCGGTGCTATGCTCCATGGGGGTCGATTAGACCCCCCGTCAGAGGTTTTTTGAGGGCTCCTCTCTCCAGAATGCTACACAGTCGCGCCCAAATGTTCATTAGCCTAAGGGGTATTCACTGCGCGTATTTTGACACCAAAAAAACGTGTCCCTAGATTTTCTGGTCTCGGAGCAGCGGCGGTTTTTGAGAAACACCGCACGGCGATCTACGGCCCGGTGCAAGGAATATATACGTCTGTTAAGGTTTCGTAGTCCTACGATGCGTGGTCTCGTACATATGAGCATGTAAAGTTCAAAAGCTTCGTTGTCTGGCAAATTTGACCTTTCATCTGGCATAAGAGAGTCAATAACTGGCCGAGAAGCATACAACCTACTATCAATCGTGAAATCTCGTTGAGATTAATTCAACAATATTTTCTGCTAAGCTCTATCTTTCTTAGTTTGGAAATGGCAGATGGGCCGCATCCCCCCCCCCCCCCCCCTATCAGTTTGCCTCAGGTAAATCGGCGAATCATGACAAGAAAAAAATGGTGTATTCGTGCGTAAATTGCGATTGAAATAACTCATGAATTGGTCGCGATGGTTTTACATGGACTGACTCGGAAATCGGAAGAACCATGTCGGAGATTTTTACGGATACCTGCATACATGCATACATGCTTGACGAAAACCACGTCTTCAACTCCTTGGCCAACATGCAACGGCACTGTCGCCACCAAGCAAATGGCCGCCACTGAAACACAATGGGATTCAATTCGGCATTTCGTGAAAGCATGCTATGGCATTCTTGTTCCACCCTGATCCGGCGCCTCGGGGTTTTTCAGAATTGGATTTTTTGGTTGCGGATTCTGACTTTTCATAAGTTCATGGAAGATATATAATACGGTTCCTGTTATCAATAAATTCGAAATGAGCACCAGAAGCCACACTTTACCCTAAGCCCTAGAGTGATTAAACAGGCCAGTTTGGACCTGGTCTAACCTTGACCTGGTCTAACCTGGCCCTTTGTCAACGGAATATGTTCATCCAATTGTTGCGTTACATAAGAAAGTACCGCATAGATGTATGGCTTCGTCTAACACTCCGTTGTTGCAGGAATTGCATCCAAAATGAATCCAAATTTTTATATCAAACGATCCGCTATTCAATTTTCCACAGCCCCTCTGAATTTGGCGCGCCTACTTCGCGCTGTTCGGAAACCATTCCGGAAAAACCTTCAGAGAGAACAATTTGACCTCCACCCGAGCGCGTGTTAAACAACGTAATGAGCCATACATTGACATAAATTGTGAGAAGCTAGGATGTTCCAGGTAGAGCTCATAGCATTGCTCCGAAATGTTCAGTGTTCTCATGATTCACGCCAACGTTTGCTTGATAACGGCGGCAACGTTTGCTTGATAACCACGGCATT